AAAGGCTTGCATTTCTTTAGTAATCTTCTGAGTGACCCAATGTAGATTACATTTGCATGAAATTCTAGAATAAGCAAAACTAAATTGTGTTAGGGAAAAGAAATCAGAAGAAGGGTTGGTGGGAGCAGAGACTCACTAGCAAAGGGCATGAGGACATTTTCTGGGGTGGTAGAATCATGACGATGATCTAGATGTTGTTAGGAGTTTGGTTATACAGCTGTGTGCATTTGTCCAAACTCAGGAAATGTACACTGAAGATTTGTGTATTTCATTGCATATGTTTTACATTAAAATGCATAAACAAATGTTGAACTCAAGTTAATGATAAGTATGCTTAAGTATTGAGGATAAAGTGCACTTTGAGACATATATTCTAAAAATAAGGTGGATTAATGGATGAATAGAGATAACAGAGAGATAAATATGTAATATAGTCAAATGTCAATGGTAGAATATTGATGGTTGGATATGTCGGTGTGAATTAATTTATGTTTAAATGTTTTCATAATAAAACATGGGCAAACAAAGGGGGAGAATGGGGGATATCTGTAATAGTGTCAACAATATTTTTTTTTAAAAAAGAAGGGACCTAATATGAAAACTTTACTATCTATCCTTCTGACCTCCAAACTCCATCTTACTTACTTGCCTCTATTCCTAGTACCTGTTAGGTATTTCCAATTGATTGTGGAATTCATCTCCAGCCCCTACAAACCATTTTTGCTTTCCTTGTCTTTGTTAAGGGTAACATCATTCTTCCAGTGGTGAACATGTCTCAGGATAAAAGTCACGTTTCTTTCCTTTCTTTCTCCCATGCTCTCTAATCTGATGAACTTCTAAATTCTCCTAATTTTTACTTTATAATATCTTACTTCTTTTCCCTTCAGCGCCATCTTAATTCTGCATCAATAACCTGCATCCGTGGATAAATAGACTGGTCTAGCTAAGAAAATAATTTCCACATAATTGATGTTCTGTATCTTCTTACATGCTCTCTATAGAATGGTTTCTGATAGAATACTGTATTAGAATTTACGTGGTCATTGTAAGTTTTAAAACTCCGAATTCTAGTCGCAGTTCCTTTCAGCTCTCCTGTTAATGACTTGCAACCAGTTTTGGTTGATTTAGATGCATTCACCCCTATCAAAGACAAAAGATAAGAATTCTATACTATGATTGGCCTCTATGGACAGCTGGTCCTGCTTAATGAACTACTACCCTAAAATGGTCAATTATCATCTCAGCACCAATTCTATCATATTATTTTGCACGTCTGTTTGCAACTAATTTATCTTGGAAGATTCACCAAGGAGTAAAATTGCTTACCATAGATGCCCCATGAGCATTTTATTAACTTCCCCTCCCCCCATGGCTAACCTAGCTGGCCATTGGGAACAGCAACCCTAAAATTTCCCCATGTTAAAATAATTGCAGCGAAGATGTAGTAACTTGGGGCTTAAATTATCTATGTATCTATATGTTGAAGTGGAATTCAGTTTTTATGATGAACTTGTTTCTCTCAAAAGCATTTTCTCCACAGCAACATGTAGCCATATTTGGGGAGGCTTCACTCTTAAAAGAACCTGTTGGTTTCCTCCTTATTTGGTTGGCAGAGTAGAGGGTTCTTTGAAGACCATCAGGTCTTTGAACCCTGTGTTAGCTCTTCTTTATCATGGAAATTGCTTAAAAAATAGGCAAGCCTTTAGTTCTTCCAGAATGTTAAACTTTAACCTCAGAGGAAGTTAGGTCATCAGGGAGCTATACAACTGGTCTCTAGTGTAAGTTTTCAGTCAATTGCAACTTGGCCATATGCATTAGGTACCGTGTATCTCTAAGAAAATGACTTTAATGCATGATTGTGTACATTTATATACAGCTACAAATTATAGAGTTCTTATTCTCAGGCATCATGCTAGGTGTTATTAGTGCATCATTTAAATTTAGTGCTCCCAACCACCCCTTGATGTAAACAGTGTCTCCATTTTACAGGTCAGAATACTGAAGCTCAGACAGGACGCACTGCTCAGAAGTGAGTATGAAGATTCAAACACAGGTTTATCTGATTTTTATATCTGGTGACCTTATCCACTAGGACATCTACTGGGAAATTTCCCCTTATATCACACTATACAGCTGTAAGCATTTGTGTAAATATTGTGACAAGCATTTTATTTTTTAATATGTTTTTATTGATTTTTTAAGAGGGATAGAAACATCCATGTGAGGGAGAAACATCAATCAGCTGCCTCCTGCACGCCCCCTACTGGGGATTGAGCAGCAACCCAGGCATGTGCCCTGACCGGGAGTTGAACGGGGACCTACCTCCTACCTACCTCTCAGTCCATGCAACAACGCTCAATCCACTGAGCCACACCGGCTGGACAAGCATTTTAATCTTATTCTGGTTTTATCCTCTCTCCTTACTTTTATCATTTCACTAATTTTCCTCAACTATTTACTTTTATACCATTGTAATAATATAATTTTAATAAACTGCCTGAGATCCTTTTGGATTTATATTCCATTGAGGTATTAAGAAAAAGATAAAGCCCCTCTGGAATCCTGTAATTATTTCTTTTATATATTGTTGGCTGGATTTTTCTTGTGTTAGTTGCCTTTATTAAATTTTCGGGTTTATGTTCTAGTGTACGTACTGCTGGTTATGAAGTAACCAAGAAAAGCCTTGCATTTTAAACTGTCTGGTGCTTCTGAACACAATGAGTACATTTCATCCTGGGTTTGCATAGTCAACACACTTTTAGACTTGGTATATATACAATCAGATGTTTGAGGGAAGGAAGATTCAAAATAGAGTGAACAGTTTATAATAAAAGCTATCACGACTATCCCATTAGCTTGCTCACCTGCTGTGAGCACGACAGGCTGTGACACAATCTGCAGAATCCCCAAGTCTGTAACCAGATCCCTTTTCACTGTCCTTAAGATTCTGTTCTAAAATCCTAAAGGTATCTGTCAACATTAGAAAGCACAGGTGATTTCTAATGAGTCACCATTCTGGGTTATTTTTAGCTCTTCTTCTGCAACCACAGGGTTTTTTCTAGATGGCTCAGGGTCCTCTGTGTTCCTGATGAACTGGTGTCAACTAGACATTCAAACAGCAGTCTGCCTCCCCGGTTTCAAGTGACTTTCTGGGTAACGCTGAGTGTGGGCCAACAATAGTTTCCCCACTACTTGCTCCCTTGGCTCCATGTGGCGTCTAGGTGAGTTTTGTGAGCTCACCACATTTTTTCTCTCTAGCCATGCTCTTGTTGTCAAATCTAACTTTGGCTTTGTTTAGCTGCGCCTTATCAAGGGACTCATCTCACATGGGTGGCCACCCTCGTCTTTGGGAAGTGCTGGGTTGTAGCAGCCCTGCCACTAACAGTTTCAGGGTTTAATTGGCCGAGATGCAGAAACCATTTCCCATTTAAATTCCCAGGCAGCAATTTGGCAAAATGAGATCTGCCAGAATTAGGGTAAAGGTGGAGGAGGAAAACACATTAGGTACCCTTTCATGCTAGTTGGGTATTATCATGTGAGGACAGTCAATGTTTCCTTATTTTCAGATTCAAATTGTTAGTGCAGCTCAAGTAGAAATGAGTGCTATAAGAATGAGAGAAATTACATAAATATTCTCAGAAAATTTTATTTCAAATTACACACACATAAAGAAAAGACTGGGGCAAAGTTTCATTTACTTGCTTTTTACATCATACTAGCTCCTTCAACTAAGGTAGTTTTCTCTTGTTACAAAGTAATACAATTCTCTCTCTTGAATTTCTTCCTCTTTCAGAGATTCAGTAAAAATTTATAAGGGCCTGCACAGAAAGTTTATATATGAAGTTTACTGATTATTTCGGAGTGGGAAGATCCCAGTGAGGAGAAAACTATTAATGAAAACTAACAGGCGGGTTAAATTCCTACCATGCAACATTCCAGTGGTTTCAACTCTTATATCTTTCCCCCATGTACTTCATATTTAGAAAAGATATTTTTTAAATCCTCACCCAAAGATGTGTTTCTTTATTTTAAAGAGAGAGGAATAGAAAGAGGGGGTGGTGGGGGAGAGAGAGAGAGAAACATCGATTGGCTGCCTCCTGTACGCCCTGACAGGGGATGGAACCTACAATCTTTTTTTTTTTTTTTGGTGTATGGGATGACACTCCAACCAACTGAGCAACCTGGCCAGGGCTAGAAAAGATTTTTAAAAGTGAATTTATTAAGTAATAATTCAGTTTCCTATTATACCTATCAACAATATACAAGTGCTAAATGATAATGCCTGATCAACATGTGAAGATAACAATGCTTTGCAAAGACAAAGACGTCAGTGATGAAACTATAGAGGGTAGTAAGATTTTCTTTTCCAAATTTTGAATATAGGTGGCTAGTCAAAGTCTCTTTGAGCTCAAGGGGCCCAAATAAAAAGAATTTATAAAGAAAGTCAATAGGGTAAGGAAATCATAAGGAATAGAGAATCTGGGGGAAGGGAGGCAGGCCATGGGCCGTCTCTCTGGCATACTCACCAAATTATCTACAAGCTCCTCATAGTGGATGTTACTTGTACAGTAGTCCTCCCTTATCTGGGTTTTGCTTCCTGTCATTTCAGTTATTGGCAGTTTGAAAATATTAAGTGGAAAATTCCAGAAATAAACAATTCATAAATTTTAAATTGTGTGCAGTTCTGAGTAGTGTGATGAAATCTTGAGCCACACAAATCTGACCAGCCGGGGACAGAAGTCATCCCTTCGAACAGCATATCCAGACTATATATCCCACTTGCCCATCAATTAATTAGCAGCCATCTTGGTTATCAGACTGACTCATGGTATCACAGGGCTTGTGTTCAAGTCACCCCTATTTTACTTAATAATGCCATATCCACATAACTTATTGTAGTATACTGTTATAATTGTTCTATCTTATTGTCAGTTATTATTTTCTCATTGTGCCTAACTTGTAAATTAAATTTTATCATAGGTATGTATGTATAGGAAAAAAACATAGTATAGGTAGGATCTGGTACTATCTGTGGTTTCAGGCATCTACTGGGGGTCTTGAAATGTATTCCCTTCAAGAAAGGGGAAACCACTGTATATTGAAACTTTCTCACTAAAACTCTGTTTCACAACCTACCAAGTTTTAAGTCCAATAGGGCCTGTTAGGTTACAATGAATGTTTCTGTGACATCAGTGAGCGAATGAGCTCAGTGTAAATGGGGTTGTTCTGGTTCCTCGACTTGGGGCTCTGGAATAACAGAAGTAAAATGTTAACCTTTAGTATGAAAGAATGTTCTCAGTCAGTGCCGGCCTATTTTTAGAGAAGCAAATGCAGCGCCTGCACCTGGGCCCCCATCGAAGCGCACCCCCAGCTTGCACGACTCTGGGCCCCAACAGGCTGCACTTCCTCCTGTGATCAGAGCTCCTCACGTCTGCTTTGCTCAGCAAAGGCAGATATTCCCATTTTACTGTTTTTGTGCCTTTTGCAACATCCCCTGAGGCAGCCTCCATCACGTGTTGTTGCCTGTGCCTGGCTGTCCAGATTATCTTTGGAGGTCCCAATTAGTGTTTGTTACAAAGGTATGTAAGTTTTGAGAAGTTTATTCTTAAACTTACTTTTATGGTAAACTCTGTTCTTTTATTTTTTAAAATTAAAATATAGTTAATACACAGTATGATATTAGTTCCAGGTGTACAACATAGTTATTTAATTAATATACCTAATAAAGTGAATAAGCTCTGTTCATCTTAATAAACATTTTTGCAAAATGCATCATTTTTTTCAGTTACATTGTCTTGTGTTATAGTAGAAATCCTGTACTTTGCACCTAGCAGATGCTTAATAAATGCTAATAGATTATTTATTATTAACTATATCACAAGAGTTTTAAACAGTGAGCCCAAGGGATGATTATGTTGACAATGAACCAAATTACAGGAGCTCAGCAAGATCATTTGGCTTTTCTAGAATATAAAATCTTTAAGTCATTTTAATTTGCACGATATATTTGTCACTATTGTTTTAGAGAAACCGAAGCTAACTTTTCATTTTCAAAGACTGATGAACAATCATCCATTATTTCTTGAAATTGAATCACAGGAAATTGCACTTGTTTTTCAAACCATTTGGCAATTGTAAGAAGCTGCTGGTCACAAAATGCACGTCCAATAAACTGTAGTCCTATTGGCAACCCTTGGTTGGAAAGGGCCATAGGGACACTCACAGCTGGCAATCCTGAGTAAAATTTAAAAAAACCATTAGCTGATTAATTCTCCATCCTAAGAAGCAGAGACCGCTTCCACTTTCCAGTATGAGTAGTTCTATGACAGGATGAGGTTTAAAAAATAACAAAAATTATGATATACATGCTTTTGTACCTTCCTTTGTTCACTTAGCAATGTATGTTGAAAATCACTGTTATCAGGAACATCTTCACTCCTTTTTATAGCTACATACTATTCCACTATGCGGGTTTACCATACTTTACTCAACCATTCTTCTGTGGTTAAGCATTTAGGTTGTTTTCAGTAATTAGGTATTTCACACTATGTCCTAGCGACTTACCTTGTACACGTGTTATTTTTTTTGAGAGGGGGCAGTATTCTGGACAGTTCCTCAGACAAAGAGGACTGCCTTACCAAAGGATAAATAAGTACGTAATTAGATAATGCCAAATTCCCCTCCAAAAGAGTTGTACCGTTCTGAACTCCCATTAGCAAAATGAGTGCTTTTTTTTTATAGCATTGCCAATCCAGTATATTGTTAATCTTGTAAATTTTTTCAGTTTATAAGATGAGAAATAGTATCTCAAAGTAGTTTTAATTCAAGTTTGGGCAGAGAAAGTATAAAACCTTGGGACATCTTGTTATGCCATAAAAAAAGGAAGTTTTCAAAAATTAATGGGTACAGGTCTAAAAGATACATGCAATTTGAAGGGGCTAAATCGGGGACAATTTGAGCACTGAAAATAATAATGATAGTAATTGCTTATAGTACATTGAAGAAAAAAAAAGGAAAGCTATTCTTTAGAGAAGATGGCTAACAGTATGTATAGAAAGAATGCTGTAATTAGAAAAGTCAGGCCCTGGCCAGTTTGGTTCAGCGGTTAGAGCGTCAGCCTGTGGACCAGAGAGTCCCGGGTTCAGTTCCCGCTAAGGGCACATACCTGAGTTTCAGTTTGTCCCCAGCCCCGGTTGGGGTTGTGTGGGTGGCAACCAGTTGATGTGTCTCTCTCATATCAATGTTTTTCTCTCTCTCTTCCTCCCTCACTCTCTCCCGCTCTATCTGAAGATAAATGCAAAAATGTCCTTGGGTGAGGATAAAAAAAAAAAAGTCAGCATTTTGTACTTCTCTAGGTATTAATTCTAATAAGCAGCATCAATGGATGTTAAAAGCGGTTCAAGTTTATTGGGGAATAGAATATTTACATGGTCTCAAAGTATCATCTCACCAAATGCTTATAATCAATAAAAGGAAAAATGTAACTTTACAAGGACAACATGTGCAGTTACTTCCTTAACCAATGGTTCAACTTAGTCTCCAAAAGTGGAGCAAACTACTGTTAACTGTTTCCTGACATGAAGAATACGTAGAATTTCTATCAAAAATGTTTACCTCAACCCAATCTCAAGGAAGCATTATGACAATCATAATTATGAATGGGACATCCTACAGGACAAGTGAACTCGGCTCTTCAAAAAAGTCAATGTCACTTAAAACAAAATGTCAAAAGGTGGGAGATTTCTTATCAGAAATCAGCAAACCAGAAGAAAGTAGTACAATATTTTTTAAGTGCTAAAGAAAATAACTGTCAAAACAGAATCCTATATATAGCAAAAATAATCTTTAAAAATGAAAGGGAAGAAAGCGCAAAGAATTAGTTGCCATCAGATTAGTTGCCTAAAGAAATGGTTCAAAAAATTTATCTAAACAGAAAGGATATGATAAAAAAAAATGAATCTTGATATATCAAGGAGAAATAAACACAGTAAGCAAAAGTATAGGTAAGTACAATAGACTTTCCATCTCCTCTTGAGTGTTCTACATTATGTTTAATGATTGCAATAAAAATTAGAATACAGCCTGATGTGGTTCTAAAAAAACAGAGTTGGGGCAATTTAAAAAGACATAATAAACAAATGTATATACCAGGAGAAAAACAACTTATGAAAGGTATTTTTGGTACAACTGATAATTTATTAATTTAGAAAAGTTTATTTAAATTTAAAATGGAAACATTTAAATATGGACTATATTGGCATATTATTGTATTTATATTAGTTTTCTTAGGTGTGATCATGGAATTGTGGTTATAGAGGAGAATGTCTTCATTCTTGGAAGACTCATAATAAAGGTGAAGTGTTATGATGTTGAAACTTTCAAATTATTCAGCTAAATACTGTGTGTGTGCGTGTGTGCATGTGTGCGTGCGTTTGAAGAGAGAAACAGAGGACAGAGAAAGCAAATGGAGCAAAATGTTAACAAGGGTGAACCCAGAAAAAGGGCATATGGTATTTATCACACTACTTTTCAACTTTTCTGTAGGTCTGAAAGTTTTTAAAATAAAAGTTAAAACGTATGCTATTAGCTGGGCCAGTGTGGCTCAGTGGTTGAGCAACTGATCCCCAGTGTGGGGCAAGCAGGAGGCGGACAATCAACATTCTCTCTCACTTATGTTTCTATCTCTCTCTTCCTCTCCCTTCCTCTCTCTCTAAGAAGCAATAAAGAAAATAAATAAATAAAAATAAAAAAGTATGCTGTTAGGTGGACTGATTCTGAGTATGTGTGTGTGTGGTGAATACAAGTATGTGTGTGCTCACACACACTCACACTTTTTTTTTAAATTCTCAACTGAGGACATTTTTGCATTAATCTTCAGATAGAAGAGGAGGGAGAGAAGGAGGAAGAGAGAGAGAGAAATATTGATGTGAGAGGGACACATTGAGTGGTTGTCACCCACATGACCCCAACCGGGGCCAGGGACAAACTGCAACTGAGGTACGTGCCCTTAGTGGGAACCGAACCTGGGACTCTCGGGTCCACAGGTCAACGCTCTAACCGCTGAGCCAAACCAGTCAGGGCTACACACACACTTCTAAGCATTCCAGAAAGACAAGCAATTGCCTTTAGGACACAATCTAGCTAGAACCTAAGTTGAAGACCACAGTGCTGACTTAAAAATGTTGAGAAAACAAAAACATTCTTGAGGAATCCTCACCTGCCATATTTACAGCCTGTGTAAAAATATCATCCTGGGCACTTCGAGTTCTGTTGTCTTCTTTGACGAACTCCACATACGGCACTGCCTCACGCAAGGTGGTGGGCGTCAGCAAGACATCCACTCCAGAGTTAAAGACATTCACAAAATCATTAGCAATGAGTCGTCTCACTTTCTGGGCTTTGACAAAATAATTCTCATAGTTTCTGTAGGAAAAAATAGATGGTATTTTAGGGGCCTTTTGTCATTTCTTTGAACGATTCTCATACACAAGGCTTGTTAAAGAATCACTGGATTTTTAGCCTTTATGAGCAGGCACCACAGATTCCTAACAAAACATAAAACTGAATTCTGTTCAACTGTGATATCATTTGAAAAGTTTGTAGGTCTGGATTTAATCAATCAGAATTCACTACTTGGTCCAACTCCGTACATATAATCACAAAATATTAACACGCCCAGGGACAGCATTAAACCAGAACATTCACTTTTAGGTGAGGAAAATCAAGTGTAGTAATTAAATGACTCTGCACAGGTTGCAGAGATTGGCAGTTGTAGAGAGGGACTAGACACTGGAAAACACTAGAACTGGGCCCCTGGAGGCTCATTCCAGTTCTCTTTCTGTGATAATGTCTTATTTCCTCTACACTATAATGATAACGACTTATTTCAAAGATTCTGAAGTTCTGAAAAATTCTGACATGTCCTCAGAATGAGACACTATAAACAAGCTCTGGAGATAGAAAGCAGGGACGATGCTGTGTTTGCACTTTTGTATTTTATGGATAGGTATAGCCCAGGATGGAAATGTGCAATTCAAGAAAAGATGTTTACTTTACTGAAAAGGTTAAGGAATTAACCAGACACAAGAGTTACTGTAAGTCAATCGAGCAAAGAAAGGGAAAAAGAAAACGCTCCTAAAATCTTCCTGAAGCTACTAATGAAGGCTGACAAAAGTACTAATTGCTCTAACCTCCATTCCTCCACCTGTAAAAATGGACATCACAACTCCAGTTACTGCAGACCAAATACAACAAGATAACAATGTGAAATCTTTTTACTCTAAAAGAATGCTATAGAAATATCAGATGTCCTCACTATCACTTGACCACAGGGTCTACAGAGATGAATGCAGGCATCACCTATAATTTACACAATAACAGTTGATGGCTTAAATAATATATTAACTGCATTCCCCAAGGCTGAATTTTATAAAAGAACAAATACTTCTGTTTTCTATTAAATTTCTTTGGGCTTTAAATATGGTTCAAAGCAGAACTTCTGCTTCCATCAGTGATGCAGTAATAGATGGCACTTACCCTGCCATATAAAACAACTAGGAAATGAGACAAAACCCTACCAACCTTTCAGACCTCAGACAATAGCATTCAGAAGAGGGAGCTCTGAGGGAAGAGAAGCAAATAAGTGAAAAGCCCTTTGACTTCCCCAGAGTGATGCCCGGAGGCCGTTTTCACACCTGAGCTGAAGAGGAGGAACCTAAACAGAGTTGAAGAGTGGGAGCGGGGCTCTCAGCTAAGAGAACAAGATGGGAAGTCCGGGGAGGCAGACAGCCATGATCTGCCAGAGCACAGTACTGGATAGAAGAAAGCAGCACACAGAGCTCAAGGGATCACCTGAGTGTGATGTGAATATTTATGATCTACTCCCTTCGCAGTTTTCAAGTATATAATACAGTATTGTTAACTATAGTAACTATGATGTACATTAGATCCCCAGAACTCACCCATCTTATCACTAGAAGTTTGTACTCTTAGGCCAACATCTTCCCATTTCCCCCAGCCCCCAGACTCTGGCAACCACCATTCTACTCTATTTCTATGAGTTTGGCTTTTTAAAAAGATTCCAACATGGCCAGTGTGGTTCACTTGGTTGAGCATGGTCCCATGCACCAAGAGGTCTCTGGTTCAATTCCATTTAGGGCACATGCCTGGGTTGCAGGCTCGATCCCCAGTAGGGAGCGTGCAGGGTGCAGCCAATAGATGATTCTCTCATGGATGTTTCTCTCTCTCCCTCTCTATATAAAATCAATAAAAAACATATTTAAAAAAATAAAAGATTTCACATGTGAGATCACAGAGTATTTGTCTTTTTCTTATTTCATTTAGAATAATGCCTTCACAAGATGGTCAAGCAACTTATATTGAAGACAATCTAGGTAGGACTCCTAGTAATTTAGAATCTCTCTTGGAGCAAACAGGTACATAATGAAAGGGAAAACTAAGTTGATTCAATAAAATTTTCAAGAGAAACCAATGTAACTTCCTACTTAAGGCTCTAACAGGAATAAGCCAATAACAGTCAGGGGACATTTTATGAGGCCAAAATCCTCAGGGCTTCCTACTTAGTTTGTATTAATCATTTAACTAGGACATCAATTGTTTGTTTGTTTCTGAATAAAGGAACCAAAAGTACCATCAATAGGCCTTTAATTATGATTTCTAATTCAAGTCATAAGGATTTGCTTCTTTAGCAAATACCTCAACTTATAAGCCCTGTTACTACTATAATGTTGAGTTTTTAAGAATGGGGAAAATTCCTTAGCTAATTCTTACTCTTTTAATAAGAAAAAGTTTCCTGAGAGAATTCTTCCTCTCACCACATCATTAAAACCTTCTCGTCTGGTCGCAGCATACATGGCCTCAGTAGACACATTAATGTCACATCTGTGACCTGAAAACAAAAGAGATAACCATTACTTGGAAAGGAAGTACAGTTTTGGCCGAAAAGCAGACCTGAATTTACATTTGTGACCAATACTAAAATTGGAGGAGATTTTAAGATAACCACCTTAAAAATTGCCCTTAATGGTCTCTCTTCTTCATTTGCCATCTGATTGATCGAGCAGTCAAGACTCAAGAAGAAAATAACCAAGAGAGAAACATCATTTGTTCACTCTCATTTGTTCGTTCGTTCGTTCACTCATTCATTCAAATGTTTACTGAGCATCTACCATGTGCTAAGCACTACATTAGATGAACTGAGAAAACAAAGATAAGATACTGTCCTTTCCAAGTATTCAGTCCAGAAAGGTAAACCAAATATTCAGAGATAGCTGTAATGAATAGTGTAAGCACAATGCTAAAATGACAAATGATTCACTGATTTACTTCTCTAAACAATTAACATGATCTTGGGCAGTAATTTTTTTTGCCACTAATAAGTGAACCTTTCAAATGTTAAAATAACCACCTTAAAAATTGCAAACACAGCCAGCTTACCATATTCCAGCCCGTCAAATCTTGCCATATTTGATGCCACTTCTGAGGTACACAGTACATGGTAGCAGACAATTGAATAACTGGTATGGGGCAGGGACACTTCAATTACTTTGGCCCCCTCAGACTCAAAGAGGTTAGCAGCTTTGGACCAAAGAGATTGTATTTCACTTGATAATTCTGGTACAAGATACTCCTTATTGAAAATAGTTAAAAAACAGAAATTAGAACATCTGTATTGATGACTTATAAAAATTTGTACTCCAAGACTTTTGTCAATACATTAGTAAATTTGATTACATTGTTAGTAGGTAGCCAAAAAGACTGAACTAATTTAAGAGTGTTCATGGAAACAAGCACAGTAGTAAATAAGAGCTGGATATAACACTACTAAAGATTGGCGATTTGGTTGGAGAACTTATATTTGTTAAATGTTCATTATATATCAGGTACTCTGCTAGATGCTTTTCAAAGATTTTCTACTTTAATGCTTTTAATAATCCCATGATGTAGGTGTTATCTTTCATTTTATAAATAAAAACATATAGAGACTAGGGGGGTTAAGTAACTTTACTAATATTACAAAGCAGTTAAGTAGAGGATCTAGGATTCTAAACTAGGTCTGTTTCTACAACCTGTGCTCTCTTTAAATCCTTAAAAGAAGGCAGAGCTATTACCTTAATGGAAGATTTTAAAGAACATAGAATTTCTCTACAGTAGTGGTCTCAAATGGGGGAAATTTTATCTTCTTCCTCACAACCAGGGTGCTCTGGTAGTGTCTGCAGACATTTTTGGTTGTGGGATTGTGGTGTGGTGGGGGTGCTAACTCTAGGGGTAGAGGCAGTGATGTGCTAAACATCTTACAGTGCACAGGACAGTCTCCCACAAGATAAAATGATCCAGAAAACTACTGCTGCCCTGGCCGGCTGGCTCAGTTGGTTGGAGCATTGTCCTGCACACCAAAAAGGCTGCGGGTTCCGTTCCTGGTCAGGGCACATATATAGGTTGTAGATTCAATTCCAGGCTGGGGCCTGTAAGGGAGGCAACTGATTGATGTTTCTCTTTCACACAGATGTTTCTCCCTCTCCCTTCCTCTCTCTCTAAAATCAATAAACATATCCTTGGGTAAGGATGAAAAAAAATTACTGCTAATCTTAAAATAAAAATTAAAGGTCAGTCATTTTAATATATTTACTTTCATGTATGAATTGCACAATTCAAACTGTAATAAATGTAGTAGTAATACTACTAATAATAGTAATGTTGGTAATATTTATTGATCCTTTACTATGCAAAGTATATCTCATACTATGTCCTTTACATCAAGGATTAATAAACCATAGCCCATTAGTCAGATGTCCCTTGCTAGCTATTTTTGAAAATAAAGTTTTATTAGAACACAGCCACTCTTCTGTTTACATATGGCCTACAGCTGCTTTCACACTACAGTGGCAAAGTAGTTATGATAAAGATTGCATGCCCACAAAGCCTAAAATACTTACTAATTGATACTTTACAGAAAATTTTATAGACCCTTGCTTAACATGATTATTTATTTTTATTGAGGTGTAATTGACATACAACATATTATAATGGTTTCAGGTGTACATGATTCAATATTTGTATGTATTAAGAAGTGATCACTACAATAGGTCTAGTTAACATCTGTCACCATACATAAAGTTTTCTTCTTGTGATGAGAACTTTTTAGATCTCTCTTAGCAACTTTCAAATATGCAGTACAGTATTATTAACTGTAGTCGCCACACTCTGTATTACATCCCTGTGATGATTATCTAATTCGAACCTCACCACTCTCTAAAATCAACATTGTTATTATCCTCATTTTACAGACAGGAAAATTGAGCTTAGAGAGATTAAGCCATGTGCTCAGGTCACATAGCTAATAAAAGTGGCAGATCAAGGATTCAAACCCAACCGGTCTGTTTCCCAAATCTCTGCTTTGTATTTGACTTGACAGTATTTCTGTAAAGTAATGAAAGGGAAGAGTTACCTTTGGAATTCCTATACATAGTTTGCTCACATCTGTCAAATTGGGAAGTATAAATGGTTTAAAAGGATCTTGTATTGTGGTAGAATCTTTGCAATCATGTCCAGCCAGTACACCTGTAAAAAAAAATACTTGGGAGTGACAGACATTGTTTTATAGTGAAATTATAATATTTTGAAACTATATGGAATCATGTAAATACCCAACACAGTTGCTGCATCATCCACGCATCTGGTTAAGATTCCTGGCACATCCATTGAATTCACCAGGGGAATGAGACCGTGACGGGAAACTAAGCCGTAGCTTGGTTTTAAACCAACAACCCCACAGTGGGCAGCTGGATTTCTGGTCGATCCTCCCGTATCTGATCCTAAAGCCCTAGAATTTAAACGGAATTCTCTTTAGAAGAATGACATATCTCTAATTACATTTGAAATCTACCTTTTAAAATGTATATTTTTAACTGTATTTCCCCCTAATTATTTAAAAGTAAAACATGCTCATCTCAGAGAATTCTTAAAATATAGAAAAGAGTAAGAGGTAACAAAAAATTCCACCATCCTAGGGCAAACACTGTTAACATTTGGCATATGAACTTCAAGTTTAAAAAATGCTTTCTCTTTCACAGTTCAGGTTATTCTGTAACATAAGTTTCCATCTCTTTTTTGCTTATCATGAGCCTTTTATTATATCATTAAAATTACTGAAAATTTAAAATATGTATGATACTTTATCATATCAGTTAGCAATTCCTAATATTTTAAAGTACATTCTCTTATCAATATATATACAAATCTTATACCTTCCTTTAATGGCAATTTTACAGTACACTTTTACCAACTAACACACCCTTCCCAGAAATTCAGATATTCTGCTACCCCACTCAGAAACACAGATAGAAATATATTTTATTTAAACATCATATTGTTGCCAACTAGGATAATAATTGCATAACAAACTACTTTGTTATAAACACCTTTAAACATAAATCTTTGCCAATATGACAATTTTTTAACTTAGCTTCCAAGAAGTAGAGTTAATGGGCCAAAGAGTCTGCTTATTATAAGCTCTTAATATATATGGTCAAATTACTTGTCAGAAAGGTTATGTCAATGTATAGTCCCAATTACAGTGACTTAGACTGTGTTCAATGTTTCATTATGTTTCACTGAGTACTAGCAGTTCTTAAAATATAGTTAAATTGATAACCAAAAAGTTTTGTTAATGTGTATTCTAAAAGAATTTTTCACATTAATTTGTATTATCCATCTATGAACTGTTTATTGTTTTGCCCAGTTGCCCAGAGAATATATACTTTTCTTATTAAAAACAAACCAAAAAAACCCAAAAAAACTAACCTTGAGGACATTATGCCAGGTGAAATAAGTCCATCACAAAAACTGCAGAGCTTCACTTAAAGAGAGCTACCTAGAGTAGTCCCATTCCTAGCGACAGAAAGTAGAAGAGTGGCTGCCAGAGACCGGGGGCTCAGGCAAATGGAAGCTGTTGTTTCAGTTTTGCAAATGAAAAAAGTTCTGGAGATTGGGTGCACAACAATGTGAATGTGTTTAACACTTAAAAATGGTTAAGATGTCTGGCTGCTGTAGCTCAGTGGGTTGAGCACAGTCCCATGCACCAAGAGGTCCCTGGTTCGATTCTTGATAGGGGCTGTTCAGGAGGCAGCTCATCAATGTTTCTCTCTCTCTCTCCCTCTCTGTCTAAAAATAATAATAATATATATTTTTAAAAAAGGTTAAGATGGTAAATTCTACAATTAAAAATTAAACACATTTAAAAACACTTTCAGAAAAAAAGGTTTCTTAGATTAGAAAAGTGAATATGCCTACTGCAAAAGTTAAAATATTCGCCCTGGCCAGTTTGGCTCAGCGGTTAGAGTGTCGACCTGCGGTCCGGAGAGACCCGGGTTCGGTTCCCGCTAAGGGCACGTACTTCGGTTGCAGTTTGTCCCCGGCCCTGGTTGGTCGTGCAGGTGGCAGCCACTCGATGTGTCCCTTCACGTCGATGTTTCTCACTGTCTCTCTCCCTCCCACTCTATCTGTACAAAAAATGGAAAAATATCCTCGGGTGAGGATTAAAAAAAAAGTTAAAATATTCTATTACTGTATGATATATATAAAGTTTCTCTGAATTACTACCCCCACAAAAATCTACCTACCAATTTTATTTATTTTTTATCCTTACCCGAGGACATTTTTGCATACATCCTCAATTAGAGCGGGAGAGAGAGGGAGTGAAACTTCGATGTGAGAGAGACACATCGACTGGTTGCCACCCACACAACCCCAACTGGGGCCGGGGATAAACTGCAACCGAGGTACGTGCCCTTAGTGGGAACTGAACTTGGGTCTCTATAGTCCACAGGCTGACGCTTTAACTGCTGAGCCAAACTGGCCAGGGCTAGTTATCAATTGTAAATACATTCATCCAGACACTTCCATGCAAATAACATACAGGGTGGGACAAAATAGGTTTACAGTTGCTCATATGAAAATAATACAATAATTAATAAATACTAATACAAGAATTAACTTTCACTTACAACTATAAACCTACTTTTGCCCACCCTATATATACATATATAATGATTACTTTTAATAAAAATAAGGTCATACTACACATACTATTTTGCAACTTGTTTCCCACTTAACCGTGTGTCTTGGATATCTTTCCATGTCACTAGTGCTCTAGCTCATTTTCTTCATGGTGCATAGTAGTCCGAGAATCTTCCCATTTCTAATGCAGAACACTTGACAGTTTGGGACCTATCCAACCTGGAGTTACTCTGGGTCTGTGCTTCTCTTGACTATACCCAGAGTGAAGCTTTGGACTGAACAAGGCTCCTACCAATAACATAGCCCTTGTGTTCTACAGAAAATGCAAATTAGATTACCTTTCTGACCATGTCCATTCGAGATACAAAATCAAACTATTGCTTTCACAATTTCTAAAAGGATACATTTTCTTATTAGGATTCGCTGACAGCTATGTAAAGCAAAACTTACATTCCCATAGGAATTGTGTGTCAAAATGCCATCTTCTCAAAGCTGATTCAGAAAGATGAATGCTGAGGGGTGATGAGGATAGAAAAGAGCACCTAGTCTGGCAGTCCTAACTTATCAGAACTCTCATTAATATTAATGCAGTGCTATAACATTTCACAGAGATAAAATGAAATGGTTTTACTTGTTAACAAGATTTCAGGGAACCTAAAAAAAATATCTGTAGAGTCTAAATCTCCATAGCTCTAAAAAACATAAATAATTTATTGCTTGCAATGCCTCTGAAAGAGCTTAGATTCAGTGGATAATTGAGAAGAGATAAATATAAGAAGAGCAATATTTATTTATTCTTCTTTAGGTGGTTAGGAAATGCTTCGCAATGGGGACTTAGGACATAAAGCATTACTGATGCTTTCTAAACACAAAGCATGACAGCTGAACAAACCAGCTCCCTACAAACTTGAAAACCTTTACTTACTGATAGCATTTTTAGTTACTAATTAATAAAAATACTATTTTAAATATTCTATTGATATATATTAGGAGCATTTTTTTTTCCTGTCCTTTTTTTGGTGGGGGTGGGCGTGGGGTGGGAGGGCAAGAGTCAGAATTAGCCCAAAGGATAAACCACAGCTAACAATTTAGCTCAGCAGCACTAAATATCAGTAAGTAGACACCCAAATAAATTATATAAAAAATGAAATTCAATGAAGTCCATTTATGCTAACTGGTTTATTCTGCAAGATCCGTAAAATCAGGTTTTTAAGATAACTAAATACCATATAGAAAGGCTTTAAATGTTAAATACATAGCATATACATAAGTGTACTGCATAGTTGAGTGTATTTATTTATTTTATTTTTTTTATCCTCACCTGAGGACATATTTTTGCATTTATCTTCAGATAGAGCAGGAAGGAGAGAGGAAGAGAGCGAGAGAAACATCAATGTGAGAGAGACACACAGACTGGTTGCCACCCACACAACCCCAACCAGGGACAAACTGCAACCAAGGTACGCGCCCTCAGCGGAAACCGAACCTGGGACTCTCTGGTTCACAGGCCGACGCTCTAACCCCTGATCCAAACTGGCCAGTTGAGTGAATTTATAAGATATAATTTTGATATACCATTGAACAAAAATAGCTCACTAAAAAATAAAAATACTGAGGTATAAACTTCTCCATTGTTGCAGTTTGCCTATGGTTTATGAACATTTGTATCAGGTTGAATTTTAAAGTACAGATGGAAAAAACATCTCACACAAAGCATGTGAACGCCGATACGGCCGCTGCACTCCCTCCTGAGCTTCCTCCAGTTATAAGCCAATTTGAATCCTCGTTCTCACCATGAGGCTTCTGCTTCCTCTTTTCTCTGTATTGTTTTGAATAACTCCAGGGGTTTTTAACTGGTCCGAATACACCATCTGTGCTCCCAGATCTGAGATGAAGAAGTGAAGCAAGATACTTAATAAAACTTTCATTTTAGAAAATTTTATCTTCTGATTATTTGCTTTCAACACTGTATAATTCACTATAAATTGAATTGGAAAAGGGAGGAAGCCTGTTTAGATAGTTTTCTTTAATTAGGTGGTTGAGGAGGTGAAGGCTAGAAAGTAAGAGCACTTGTAATAGAAAGTAAACTAGTCTGCTAGGAAAGGAAAAGTTTTATCCCAATTGATCATTTAATTTAGTTTAAGATGATATCCCTTGTAAATTAAGGTCTTCCAGTTGAAGAGTGTCACAAACATTCAAATAGTAAACAAGAAGTCTTTTAAAGGAACCCTTCTTTAAATTTTTTTTTTTTTTATCCTCACCCAAGGATATTTTTCAATTTATTTTCAGACAGAGTGGGAGAGAAAGAAAGGGAGAGAGAAACATCAATGTGAGAGGGACACATCGACTGGTTGTCTCCCACATGATGCCAACCAGGGCTGGGGACAAACTGCAACCAAGGCACGTGCCCTTGGCCGGAATCAAATCTGTGCCTCATTGGTCCATGGCCGACTCTCTACCACTGAACCAAACCAGCCTGGGGAAGGAACCCTTCTTTTAATTAGAAGTTTTAAGAAAAGCATTATAAGTGAAATGCTAATAACTTATTTTTTAAATTTTGAAATAATTTCAATCTTACAAAAAAATAACAAATAAAAATAGCACAAAAAGCACTTTAACACCCTTTAGCCAGATTCACCTATTGTTAACTTCTCTACCTCATTTGTATGTATGTACACACATTTTTTTCTGAACCATTTAAGGGTAAATTATATTGCCATGGTCCTTTACTCCTAAATACTTTAGTATGTATTTCCTAAGATTAAGGGTATTCTTTTATATAGTCATAGTATAGTTACCAATCTCAGTAAATTTAACATTAATATAACACTTTTATCTAATTTAATGTATGTAATCCAATCTTGTCAGCTGATCCAATAATATCCTCTTTAGCATTTTACACCCTCCCAGTACAGAATCAGATCTAGAGTCAGGTACTGCATTTAGTTATCATTGTCTCTTAAGCCCCATTTTTTAACTTTTTAAATCATTCACCAGCCAATGAACATTGAGTTATTTCTAGTTTTTGGCAATTTGAATAAAGCCACAATAAATATTGTACTGAAAGGCCCTAGCCAGTGCTTTTGTGTAAACACAAGTCTTCATCTCTTGAATAAATACCCAGAACTGAGATTGTTGGGTCATATGGTAAGCGTATGTTTAACTATTTTCCAAAATGGTGATATCATTTTGAATTCCCTACCAGCAATGCGTGAGAAATCCAACTGCTCTGCATCCTTGTCAGCACTTGATACTGTCATTTTTTAAGCCATTCTAATAGGTGTATGTATCTCATTGTTTTTAATTTACATTTCTCTAATGTGATACATTTTTATGTGTTTATTTGCCAACTTTATATCTTCTCTAATGAAATGTCTGCTTATATCTTTTACCCACTGAAAGAAAACCGAAGTTGTTTTCTTATTTTTGAGTTGGGAAAGGTTCATTATACTGGATGCCAGTTCTTTCTCAAATATATGTGTTGCAAATACTTTCTCTCAGTCTGTAGCTTGTTCTTTAGAGTTTTTTTGTTTTTTAATTCTCACCAGAGGATATTTTTCCATTGATTTTCATACAGAATGGAAGGGAGGAAGAAAGAGAGGGAGAGAGAGAAACACTGATGTGAGAGAGCCACATCAATTGGTTGCTGCTGGGGATCGAACAGCAACTGAGGTATGTGCCCTTAATCAGAATCAAACCTGTGACTCTCTGGTCCACAGGCTGATGCTCTAACCACTGAGAAACCGGTAAGGGCTGTTTTTTTCATTTTTTAAACAGTGTATTTCAAAGTACAGAAGTTATAAATTTTAATGAAGTCCAATCTATTAATTTTTTTATTTTACAAATTATACTTTATGTGTCCCAAGAAATCTTTGCCTAACTCAAAGTCACAAAGATTTTCTTCTATAAGTTATAGGTTTTATGTTCTTTAGCCTCTTTTAATTTGGAACATTTTTACAACCTCTCTATGGTTTTTTGATACTGACATTCAATAGAACATTTCTCATTTCAGATTTGTCTCTTTTTTTCCTTGTTATTACTTTCAGTTATACATTCAAAGCTGGAAAACGGCATAGATAAGGGAATCACATCTGGAGGAATACAATGTTCACTTCACTCTCATTGATGGTATTTATTTTGATCAGCTGTTCAAGGTGATGTCCTAATAACCTATGTTCCAGTTTACTCCCATAGATGAATCCACTCAACATGTATTTACTAAATGCCAAGATAATGAAAAGATAAGCCAGCGATTGCAAATCACCTGTATGATAATGGACTTGAATCCAGATATATGAAAGAACTCTTACAATTCAATAAAACAAATAACCCAATAATAAAAAAGGGTGGAAGGCAAAAGATTTAAATAGATTCTTCACCAAAGAAGATACATGGGTGGCAAAACATATAATGTTTCACATTATTAGTCACTGGGGAAATGCAAACTAAACCCAAAATGAGATATGACCATATACCTATTAGATAGCAGAACATAATCTCACAGAGAGACTGAGAAACCAGCATTAGAGTCTTCAAAAAAATCACCTCACTACTTTCAGGAAACTACATAATGAAATTAAAGACAGATGGAAGAAGTACAAGAGACAAGCATTTCCATTTTACTTACCCCATAGCAAACTCATCCAAGTTTGTTTTTCCCATTAGTAGAGCTCCCTGATCCAACAACTTCTGAACTACTGTGGCATTATAAGGTGGCACATACCCTAAAAAAAATTCAGTTACTTTTATTATAGGAAAGAAAACAGTGAACATGTAAATCATATTGAAGAAACAAGATTTTAAATTGCAATTAAGAAATTTGTATCAGCATGTGCTAATTACCCTTAATTTGATTAGTAGGTTGTACTTTCTTCCAAAAGTTATGTTTTCCAAAGACAGTCTATATTCACTATTTTTATAATCTAAGAACACTGACTTTAACAGTACTGCAAAATACTGAATGACAGTCAGAGTTGTACCCAATTAATTTTAAACTAATCACAAATTATATTTTTGCTCATTGTACTTGATGTTTTCTCAGATGATGCTTTATCACAGTAATTTCTATCCATTCCCTGTCAGAAATAAATTTTTATTGTTAATTAAAATTTTCTGTATCTAGTATATATTCTAAAACAATTAACAGTCCATCTGTCAGAGGAACCGAGGCACATACCTCAGAATATTACTTATAGTATGTAGTACTCTGAATAACCTTTTTCCATTTCATTTTCTTCCAAACATTTTGATAAACACGATTCCCTTTTCACTTACTAAACTGTAAAGAATGAAACTAAGTATCATAGTACTCAGATAAGTATAAGAGGTAGAGGAGTCAGAAAATAAAAAATAATGGACAGTAGAGGCTAACAAATCCTCACACCATCCTCAAGAGAGGGGTAATGACAGCCACTTCACACTACTTTCATATCAATGAGTGGGAGTTAGAGGTCGCACAGTGTGATTGTGGTGATCAGTTACTGAGGCTTCCTAAACAGGATTGCTAAAACTTCCTAAATAAGATTCATTGGTTAGAGCATTGGCCTGAGCACCAGATGGTCACATGTTCAATTTCGGTCAGGGGCACTACCTAGGTTGCAGGTTCAATCCCTGGCCCTGGTCAGAGAGTGTGCAGGAGGCAACCAATCAATGTCTCTCTCTCTCATCCCTCCCTCCCTTCCACTCTCTCTAAGAATCAATGGAAAAAATATCCTCTGACGAAGATTAACACATACACACACACACAAAAGATTCATGAACTAAGCTGGGCTACCTCTGAAGAATAGTTCTGCATTCTGAAAGAGCAAAGAATAAAAAGGTAATAGTCCATCCTAATTATCTCCTTTGCAGACATAATTAGTCTGAGAATATCTTGGTGCTTTAGTATCTTATCTTTAATTTAAACTAAAAAATTCTTATTTTTTAATAAAACTATTAATGCTGTGATCAGTTAAATTACCTTTCAGCATGTTTGATGCACACGTTGTCTCAATGCCAGACGTGCTAAAGTTGTCTTTTACTGCAAAAGGAATTCCGTCTAAATCCCCAAGGGACTGACCTGTGTTAAAAAGCCAAAAGAATAGAAGATGTATCTAATTCAAGATATAATGACATATTAATACTTGTTGTCATAATAACTATTAGTTCTTGGTAAGAATTCTTCTTCAGAAATAAAATTCATGTTAGAAATTATTGCAGTTGGACAGTATAAAGCATCACATATCCAATTTCCTCGTTTTTATTATACCTCATGGTAAACTCTTTAAATAACAGAATGCTTTATGTTAAAAGATTCACTTGCCAAATGGAGACTGCTACATCCAATTAAACTCTTTAAGGATATAACAATAAAGAATAATTCAAAGTAATTTACCTTTCTTATATCTTTCCTCTGATTCTTCAGCTTGCTTTAAGGCCCCCTCTTCTGATACAGTAATGTAAGCATTTAGAAACTTGGTCTTCTTGATAAGGGAGAGACATTTTTGACAGAGCTCGGTTGGAGTAATTTGGCCTTGTTTCAGTGCTGCAGAAACCTATAATATATACAATTGAAAAACCCTTTACTGAGTCTGCAGATGTTTCAAATATTACAGACAACAGGCATATAGAGTGGTTAACTATAAAATTTTGAAGTAAGGCTTGAATTCAAAACCAAGAGAACCTGTCAACTCTATACTTAGTGTAGTGAACCAGGTTAACACCTTGATCAGCTTGAGGATGGTCTGGAGGACACCACATTCATAGGCCTGGCTAAGTCACTGTTTCTAAGCCAGGCTTGAACAAACAAGAGCAAGGGTTTAGGTAAGCCAGCCTGCCCAGGGGAAGCAGAGGTCCAGCATGGGTGAAGCACAGGTTAGGGTAGATTGCGTACAGAGAGTAGCTTAGCTGCAATGAAGGCAGTCCACAGAGAGAAAAGAGAAATGAATTAGACAACGCAATACAGGACTTCATGGCTCTAAATAAATGATCTTTATTAAATAGATCTTTATATCTACTGTACAATTCAAGCAAATACCATTACCCATTGGGAGAAACACGTAGAAAAATACGAATTCCAAAGCAAACAAACTTTTCTGAAATCTGGTCTTTGCTGCATTAGGAAGGCTGGTAAAGAAAGCATTAAAATAAACTGTACTACAGTGACCAGAACCTGCATATTCATAGTAAGTGAAGCCTGTGGTGGTGATAATTATTTAATACTTCCTATAGAAGTATTAACTACATACTTACCAAGTAAAATAAATGAATAACAAGAAGTCAAAGATAATACCAAATATTTGGAGATAATACAAAAAGAGAGTTGGATAAGATGGGAGCTCAGAGGTAAGGGGGATGGGGAAGAATATTTATTGAGTATTTACTAAGAGCCAGGCATTGTTGTTGGTTTTATATACATTATTATTTCATTAACCCTTAAAACAACCACAGAAGTTAAGTATTATCAACATCATTTTAGAGATGAAGAAACTGAAGCTCGGAGAGGTTAAGTGATTTGTGCAAGATCACACAAATAGTAACAGGTAGAGGTAATTCTTTAACATATGTTCTTTCACTATTTCTCTCTGCACCAGTGGAAGCTTCTTTTGTCCTCTAAGGTGCCTGTACTTTCACATGTCCTAAACAGGTCAAGCAATAGGAGTTTGCACTTGGAGGGAAATATGCAAATGATCTGCCTTCAGCCATTGAATAAATCATCAGAGCAGTAGTGTTCTTAGGGCCGAGTGTTTTAATGAGAAAAGCTGTGGGAATAGGCCATTGAGAGGACCTAATGCTGATGGACAAGAGGAGGAAAGAACTGCCATGGGGGAGGCGGGGGAGTGACTGAGGGATGGAGAGAGGCAGCTGGGCGTCACTTAAAGGAGGTGACCTAGTAACAAGAAGAGATACTCCTGTTCAATAATTTGTATGAAATGTTAACTCTTTATAAGAAAGGAGCTGGAGAGAAATAAAAAGACAGCAGTATGTTCTAATGTTGTAAATATGGAGTGTGAAGAAAGGAGAAAGTGGTAGGCTGTGAACAAGAGAGTCAGAACTAGCAAAAACCCAAAGCTAGAGAAAGAAGACAGAGAGGTATATAGGCAGACCTATTCCATGGCAAAGTTGTAAGTTAGAAAAATTATGTCTGCCACTTTCTCTCCTTCTTTGCCTCAAGTTCCCTAATGCCCACTATCCTCAAGCTGCTTCCTGACTTGTGAACTGGTGTGAGAATAAAAAACAGTTGTAAAACATGAGATCACCTAGGAGCACTCATTTTAAATGGCGCTGATCATCGTTAGGACCATTTTTAGGAAATCCAGATTTGAGAAAATCAGTAAGGGAAATGGAGAGGAGAAATGAAACAAAGATGATAATGAGCTAGAATGGACTGAGCATAAGGAACATGAGATATAAATAGTACAGCTGTCCTGGGACAATACTAAAGGTGTCATATCTGAATATAGGATGAAATCAAACATAAAACTTCATGTTAAAAAACAAATTCTCCCTCCCTAGTGTTTTCCTCTAAGGAAACGAGGCTTTACCTTGAGGCCACTGCTTCTCCTGCAGATCTTCCAAGGGATGGCTGTTTTAGCTCCTCCCTGCCATGCACCAGAGTCCAGAGGAGGAGGGAAAAATGTGTGGGTGGGCTTCCTCCTCAGTCCATAATGCCTTTCTCTTCCCTCTTCTTTCAAAACCCCAACTCATCTGAAGCACAAGCCTTGGAGGTGATAATACTACCTTCACTGGTGTAGTTTGGTACCATTCCGAGTCTCCCTACTACTCCTTTTCATTCATTGAAGATTTTGGCATTTGGCTCACTGTAATCTTCTTTACTATGGCTCCTGTTGCTACTTTTGTCGAATTAAAATTTCAAGGCATGTACACTGACACCTGGCTTCTCAGTTCTTGACCTCACCCACATGGTCACAGCCCAGACTACATCAATCCAGTATCTGTATGTATAACCTCGCAAACCTTAATTCTGGTTATCCCACACCTCCTGTCTTTTAAGCTCATTTACTCTATTACCCACAAAGTTAGCAAGACAATGGGGATCTCAGTTCTAAAACCACAAGGAAACAGATTCTACCAATAAACCAACTAGGACCCCGCGACTTAGGATGAAACCACGGCCCTGACACTTTGATTTCAGCCTTGTGAGACTCTAGGCAGGACCCCAGTGACTCCCCTCCTTCACTCCTGGACTACACAACTGTGAGAGGATAAGATTGTGTGTGTTTATGTGTGTATGTTTAAGACTGTACTATTTTAAGATGAAAATTTTATACCAATTATGCAGCAATAAAAAAGTAATATACCTTCTGAAGTAAATTAAGAAATCCTCCTCAGGAACCACTCTTCTTAGAAACCAGGGGAAAAGAAAATTATAAACACACAGAATCTAGTCATTCTGTCCCTGTCACAAAATTATTATTAATTATAGCACTTAGTCCTAGGCATTATCCTAGATGCTGTATATTTCATTTAATCTTGACATCCACACTAAGGGGCTGATATTATTTCTATTTTAAAGATAAATTAATGAAGTTCTGGCTTAGAATCACATAGCTAGAAAAGTACAAGCAGAGCTGGGATTCAACCAAACCTGATCTTGTACCCAAAGTCCATGCTTGGGACCACTATACTCTACAATTCTCTGTGCAAGGGATGAAGCGTTTACTCCTCTGTAACAAAGTGGAGAACATTTTAATAGCTTTACAAAGAGCATCAAAGGCTCTTCAGAAAAGAACTGTATTTAAAAAAATGTCTTGATAGGATGTCTATTTCCCTCTCAGCGTTTTCCCCACAGCCCAGACACTGCAGTCAAAGTAGAGCTGTGAAAAATGGCGCCTGTACAGCAGCCTGCACGCTGTGGTCAGGGTTGAGCCTCAGTCAGCCAGCCTGAAGGTCAATCCCATCCACAAACAGGCCAACAATAATCAAGACTCAGTTACAACAGGCCCCACAAGGGACATTCCCAGAGCACCCAGCTCAAGAGATCAAGGAGACCGCACCACTGGGTCCCACAGAATACCTACTACATAAGGCCACCCCATGAAGACTCAGATTCATAGTTGTTCTATCTAACACACGGAAACAAACACAAAGAGATAGCTAAAATAGGGAGACAAAAAAACAGGGCCCAAATGAAAGAACAGGAGGAATCTCCAGAAAAAGAGCTATAAGAAATGCAGGCAAGCAATTGATCAGATATAGAGTTCAAATAATAGTTATAAGGATGTTCAAGGAACTTAGTGAGAACTAAAACAGCATAAAAAAGGTCACAGAAACCATGAAAAAGAACCAGTTGAAAATGAAGAATACCGTATTTGACATCAAGAATATATACGTTGGAAGGAATAAAAAGTAGATTGGATGAAGTACAGGATTGAATCAGTAATTTGGAAGACAAGGGAGAAAAAACACAACCAATCAGAGAAACAAAAAGAAAAAATATTTAAAAATAATAAGGCTAGTTTAAGTGAACAACATGAAGTGTGACAACATCCACATCATAGAGGGTACCAGAAAGAGAAGAGAAAGAGCAAAGGATCGAGAACCTATTTTAAGAAATAAAGACTGAAAACTTCCCTAACTGGTTAAAGCAAAAAAAAAACCAAAAAAAAAAAAAACCACACAAGTCAAGGAAGCACAGAGAGTCCCAAACAAGATAAACCCAAAGAGGCCTACACCAAGACACATCATAATTAAAATGGCAAAAGTTAAAGACAAAGAGAGAATCTTAAAATCAGCAAAAGAAAAACAGTTACTTACCTACATGAAAGCTCTCATAAGACTGTCTTCTGATCTTTCAACAGAAACATTTCAGGCCAGAAGGGATTGGCATGAAATAGTTAAAGTGATGAAAAGCAACGACCTACAACCAAGACTATGTTACTCAGCAAGGCTATCATTTAAAACTGAAGGAGAAATAAAGCACTTCCCAGGCAAGAAACACTAATTTGAAAGAATATATGTATGCCTATGTTCATAGTAGTGTTATTTACAATAGCCAATATATGGAAACAGCCCCTGCGCCCAACAGTAGATGAGTGGATAAAACACCTGTGGTACATTTATACAACGGAATACTACATGGCTGTAGAAAAGGACATCTTACCTTTCACACAATGGAATACTACACAGCTGTAAAAAGGAAATAAAAAAATCAGGCAGCATGGATGGATCTGAAGATTATTATGCTAATTGAAATCAGCCAGTCAGAGAAAGGCAAATACCATATAATCTAACTTATAGTGGAATCTAATGAACAAAACAAACTGATGAACAAAACAGAAACAGAGGCATGGATACATGGAACAATTTGACAGATGTCAGAGGGGAGGGGTGGGGGAGAGAGGCTGGATGAAAAAAGGTGAAAAGATTAGCCAAAGAACATATATACATAACCCATGGACATAGTATGGTGATAGCCAGAGGGAAGGGGTTGGGGGTAGGGTGGAGCTGGATATAGGAGTGCAAAGAGGGGGATAGAGGAATCTGTAATAGTATCAACAATAAAATAAAGAGAAAAAAATGTCTTGATAAGTGCTCAAAGTATCACAGAGCCCTTGAAGGCTGAGTGTCCAGTTGATTGGTACTCTCTTTAACTCACTCATCTAACATTTATGCTATCTCCATTGTTCCAAAAATCAGCATGTCAAGATCACCAGCAACCTCCATATTCCTCTATCTAGCAGTCACTGTCCAGCCCAGCAGCATTCAACATATGAGATCTCTCTCCTTGAAGCACTTCTTTTTCACTTGTATTTCAGGATACCAAGTCTTCCTGGTTTTCCTCTTGCCTTACTGGACAGTCCTTCAAGTCTCTTTTGCTGGTTCTGTTCCCTTTTGCTGACCTCTAAATGTTGTCAAGTTTTAGGCTTTCTTCTATACCCAACTTTCCAGGTGATCTCTTCCTGTCATATAGCTTTAGTTACCTTCTATACTCTTGCCAATTTATAGCCTCATACCTAGTCATTTTCTTGATCTCCAAACACCTACATCCACCTGCTTCACTGACATCTTTACTTGGATTATCTAGAAGGCATCTCAAAATTACCATTAGAAATTTTGGTAACCTTCTAATCTCAAACATGCTCCCTTTGGGGTCTTTCCCATCTTGACAGATGTTACCATTTCTCCAATGTTCAGGCCAAAAACTTAAGCATCCCTCTTGATTTTTCTCTTTCCCTTAAACTCTGTATCCAATCCATCAGTAAGTCCTGATTTAAAAGGCAATACCCACTTCACATCACTTCTACTCCCACCACCGTATCCATGCTGCACTTATCTCTTGCCAAAGCATAGCCTTCTAATTTGTCTTCATTCTTCCTCACTTATTTTCCTAGAGCCCAAAATCCTTAATAGTAAGCCTGAAGGATCTTTTTACATTTTAAATCAGATCATGTCCACAAACTGATCACTTTTCACGAGGCTTCCCATTACATTCAGAATAAAATCCACACTTCTTACTGTCGCCTAAAAGGTTCTCCATGGTCTGGCTCCTGCTTATGTTTTGAAACTCATCTCCCACTCCTCTCCTCATTCACTTCTTCCTGGGTATGTTGGTTTTCTTGTTATTCCTTGAACATGTCAAACCTGCTCTTGCTCTTGCTTATTGTTTTCTCTGCCTGAAACACTATTCTCCCAGATCTTCCCAGGGCTCACCCTTCATATCGTTTAGGTCTCTATTAAATATCACCTCCTTAGTCAAAAAACCTTCTCTGACCACTTCCCTGACTCCTAGCAAAAACATCCAGCTCCCCGCTACTAGTTCTCACACTATAGTCTGTATTACCTACTTAAAAAAACGTATTCAATGCCCGATTTCCCATACTACTCTAAGTATCGTAAGGGCAGGAGCTTCTGTCTTCAACGTTAATCCTGAGTGTCTGAAATATTAAGTTTAATGAATGAATAACGGAGTTATTTAAAATTTGAAATCAATTTTCCCACAAAACAATAATTAAATGTTCTTAGGCTAGGACCCCCCCCCCCCCAAGAAACCTATTAGATATATAATTAAACTTTAGAATGAAAAATATTAGCCTGGTGTCTGGCTCCTAATAACAATGGGGTCATGCCACAAAAGAGTAAGGTAAAAGACTCCTCCCCCTTCCTGAATGTATTTGGCTAAAATTTACAAATAGGAGTTTTACCTCCCATTTGGTACTTTAGCTCTTTTTAGTGCTTCCTCCCAGGGCTCCTCTGTTGCCCTAAGCCTTCACGTATGTCCCCCAAACTGCCTCAAAACGCCATAGTTTTGAGCCCTTCCCTTAATTTCCTCCCTAGCAAATTTTCCCTTTCTTCAATTGATTATCTCAACTAGGGTGTGATGGAGAGAAGTTTGATTGAACTATTATAATTTACAACAATGAATGAATAGATCATTCAGCCTTTCCAGACATCTCTACATATTTAAATAGAATGTGTACTAATTAATCTCAATTGGTAGAAATAGGGGAAATGATACAATGATATGGAGAAAATAAAGAGTGGACAAAAGATATATTTTCGGTTGGGGAAATAACCACCAAATGTTTTGCACACAGTATCAATAATAATTGTTAAAGGAGTGATTAACTGAGAGCAGTCATGTCAAGGCAATCTTCTGTCTACCCCCGGGGTCAGTTCCTCTAGTGTTTTTTATATCCCCTCAACATAAAAGCTGTTTTTCATGATGCCTCACTCAACAACATGAGGAAGGGGTGGCACATAAAAGATGGAGCCGAATGGCAAAGGACAGAAAAAGAAAATATCGCATTTTTTCAGTTGTATTTCATTTTTAAATAAGTTTTCCTTTTTTTTTTTTTTTTTTTTAGGAGTTTTGACTAACAGTAAAGGTCAGATGCAATTAAAATGGTAAAAATAAATTATTATTTGGGGGAAGAACTATTTATTATTTAAAGCCTGTGGACTTAAAAAGTTCTCATAATTCACAGCTTTGTAAAAGGCTGCCAGGTTCGAAGAAAAGACTTTCCAGGTGAAGATAAAAGGCAGAGCAGGTCCTCAATCCCTACTTAACAGCAGAATCACCTGGAACCTTATTAAAGCATATACTCTGGGCTTTACCACGCAGATCTGCCTCAGTGGGGCACAGCTTAGTTTTAATAAGGGCCAGAGGTGATTCTGAGAGCAGTGTACTTGCAGACAGTTATAAAGGCTGAGAGATCTAGGCCAGGAAGCAGACCTGAGTTAAAACCCTGAAAGTGAGAGAACAGATTCCAGACAAAGTTTCAAGGCAGAATTAAAAGGGGTTAGTGATTTACTGGACATTACAGATGAAGAAGAACCTAAGGGCAACTAGGATAACAGTTGTCCCTTTAATAACAGACTCTTAAGAATTCAGAAATCAGGTTTTGATTCTTTTTTCTAAGATGGAAGTTGAGAGGTAAGAGGTGCTCCTGTTACAATGATGAAGTCAACTTTGATTAAATTGAGTAAGGTGCTAATGGGACATTTGTTAGTGCTGTCCAGAAGACATTTACAAATACAGCCTAGATTTATGACGTCCAGGAAACGGAGACAAGGATAAAGGAATCACTGGTATCTGTTATAGCTAAAGCCTAGGGAATGCAAATATCAAGGGGATGAGAACCAAAACAATTAGTTTGGCTTTTGCAAAGGACAGAGTTTCTGGGCTCCGTAGAACAGCATCCAACGAGTGTCGGGGACAGAAGGGAGGCTGAAAGAGAACCGGTAGAGCCCCGCTATGACAATCGGGGCCTGACCCAGCCTGGGCAAACGTCTAATTGAGAAGCCGGTGTACACCTCCACCCCATAGCTCTGCGGTACAGAAGTATCCCCTGCTAAGGTCGTAACTCTAGAACCGGTATAGAGAGTACAACCGAAGGACCCACAGGTCCGAATCTCCAACCCAGTTGCAGGGAGGTAGGCGACGAGGCTGACCGAGATGCGTGATCAGGCCCGGGGACTCCATGTCCACGGACTCCGTGAATCTTTCCGACCTCCCTCGGCCCTCAGCAGCCAATTCCACTCACTTCTCGGAGGGTCCGGCCCAGCATGGTCCTCGTGCCCAGCCTGCCACCACAGGGGCCAGGTGAGAAGGAGGAAAAAGGAAGGTCAACAACTGCTATCGGTATTACATGGGCGCGGCCATCTTTGCTCGTCACTGAACCTTTCAGCACCGAGTACGTCCATTGGTCGGATTGCAGCCCGAGGAAATGATCCTTGCACGCGATTGGTTGGCTCCACAAGGCAAGTCCCGCGGCGTCAGAGAGCAGGTAGCAAGGAGACTCCGGGCTAGGGTCGTGGTGGGAATCTGGAAGCGTCTGATTCTCCGTGGCTCCCGGATCGCGTGCGGACTCATTTGGCCCCACCAAGTGCTCTTGGGACCGGGCAGAGTTCTAGGGGTTTTGATTTTGATTTTGGTTTTATTTTTAAGAGGAGGGGGTGTGAGCTGGGAGGAGAATGGACAAAAGACTGTCTGGAACATTAATTGGAGCATTTCAGATGTGAAGAGCCATCTAATTCCATATTCTTCTTCCTTCATTTGCTCCATTAGGCTGACTTCATTGTTGAATTCTCAGTTTTGAAATCGGCCAGTTTCCCTGGCAAAATCTGACGGAAATCAGGGGAGACAATTTAATCCAATCCAAGTGCATTTTAATTAGGGCAGGCAACTCAACCACATGTTTACGATGGAATTTCTGAAGACTTGTGTACTTAGAAGAAAGGCATGTACTACGTTTTGCTTCTGGAGAAGCCAGGTTATACAAAAGCTTTCAGTTAGAAAGATTAGTACTACCTCTCCAATGAGCACTGTCATGCCTGCTTGGGTAATAGATAAATATGGGAACAATGAAGTGCTTCGATTTACTCAGGACATGATGATGCCTATCATACAGTATCCAAATGAAGTCATTATCAAAGTTCACGCTGCAAGTGTAAATCCTATAGATGTTAATATGAGAAGTAAGTTCAAAAGACAGTTCTCTCTCTCTCTCTCTCTCTCTCTCTCTGTATCTGTCTATATATAGAGATTTTTTTTTTTTTAGAGAATTTCATCAGGAATCAGTAGTTGTAAAAGATCAATTGTTATTTGACTATGCTTCTTTGGTTAACACAAAGAAATTTTTAGGTTTTTGATAGTATTTCAGCAGATATTTCCAAAATTTTTGAAATGGCAATGCCCACGGTATATTTTAATCTTTTACAAAATGGAAGTTTGAATTGCTTCCATGCTTCCAAACTGGGACTTGAGAACTGTGTCCACAGCTAACTTTCTGTTAAACTCTCCTGGGAATTTTCTGAGGTCCATCACAGGTTTTAGAGGTATAGTTATGTTTTCACATCAGCTCAGAATTTGCATTTTTATGATAATCCTTTGATCATTCACTGTTCACAGCTTTCTTTATTGGTCAAGTGGACAAAGCAGAGAGGATGCCAGGATATGGACACCGTACTTTCCTCCTTTCTGCTGTTGCATTCTGCCTCAGCAGTTAAAATACACTTTTCTGTTATCCTAAGTGGGAATAATGTTACTGTATCGTAATTTCTTCTGGGATATATTGACAGAGATTGGAGAGCACTATGATTCCTCAAATATATACTGTGCAATTATTTTAGTGCTGAAAAAAATTACTATTTGTGAATTACTTTACCTTTAGAAAATAATGACAAAAATATTGCTTATGGGAACTCATTTATGTCTTCTGAAAAAGTAAAAAAAAAAACAAAACAAAACATCTAGGATGTTTTTATTTTTTTTGTTTTGTTTTATCCTCACCCGAGGACATTTTTCCATTTTCTGTTCAGACAGAGTGGGAGGGAGAGAGAGGAAGAGAGAGAAACATCGACGTGAAAGGGACACATCGAGTGGCCGCCACCTGCACAACCCATCCAGGGCCGGGGACAAACTGCAACTGAGGTACGTGCCCTTAGCGGGAACCGAACCCGGGTCTCTCTGGACCGCAGGCCGACGCTCTAACCGCTGAGCCAAACCGGCCAGGGCGACATCTAGGATGTTTTTAATTGGTTAGTTAACCTCATTGTTCTAAGTAAGCTTCCATATGAGTTTAATTTAATCATGCGTCTGATTTGAAGGCCTGTGTGTAGACCTACAATTCTACTCATCAGATTGCCTCGATAAAATTGTACAGGGTGGGGCAAAGGAAGGCTTACAGTTGTGAGTATGTGAAATAGAGTTTATTCAGTGTATTACTAATGATTATATTTTCCATATGAACAACTTATACGTACTTTTGAATTAAATTCCTTTGTTCATGTACATATATGATTACAAAATTAAGATTAATGATAGAATGAATCATTTTGTGGGATTTATAGAGAAATATGAAAGAAGTTGAGACTTTGACTTCTTTAATTTTTTCCTCTTTGTTTCTAGGAGCCGTGTGATAGGTTAGAATATAACTCTTAAATTTCTTCGTCTTTAGATCTCTTTACATGCCTGATCATTATTTGGTTTTTGTTTATGTGAGTTACAGCTATGAATATATCTACTTTGTTAGAAATTAGAATATAAATTTTAGAATGCTTATTAATTCATTAAAAAATATAGTAAATTCCTTTTCTGTTAACATTACAAAATTAAATCAGGTTAAAATATAAAATGACAGAAATAAGGACTCAGAGACAAGTACATATGTGAAGCATGGAAAACAGGTAGTAGTAGTTGATGGAGCATAGAATCAACCTTCAGAGAGCTTACAGTGGAAAATAACTGTATTTTCCGAAATAAGCAAAAACATTAGTGCTAAGAGTTGCATTATTTTACATTTGTACATATTTCTTTGCTTTCTGGTTTAATAAGATAGCTGGATCTTCATATATATTTCTGTATTCAGTCTTTTGAAGTGTTATTTGAAGTAAGTGAAGAAAACCCAGACTCATATAGGTAGTTGGAAAGGAAAGGACCTATTAGACTCCTTAAAAAGATTTGGAGCCCTGGCCGGTTTGGCTCAGTGGTTAGAGCATCATCCTGCAGTCCAGAGAGACCCGGGTTTGGTTCCCGCTAAGGGCACATACCTGGGTTGCAGTTTGTCCCCGGCCCTGGTTGGGTCGTGCAGATGGCAACCACTCAATGTGTCCCTTTCACGTCGATGTTTCTCTCTCTCTCTCTCCCTCCCACTCTATCTGAACAAAAAATGGAAAAAATGTACTTGGGTAGGATTAAAAATAAATAAATAAATAAAATTGCTTACAAAAAAAAAAAAAAAAAGATTGGGGACTGCCCTGGCTAGTTTGGCTCAGCGGTTAGAGCGTTGGCCCACGGACTAGAGTCCTGGGTTCGGTTCCCGCTAAGGTCATGTACCTTGGTTGCGGTTTGCCCCTGCCCCGGTTGGGGTCATGTGGGTGGTGACCAGTCGATGTGTCTCTCTCACGTCGATGTTTCTCTCTCTCTCTCTCTTCCCCCCTCTCTCCCTCCCGCTCTATCTGAAGATAAATGAGAAAAAAAAAAAATTGGGGGACTTAGAAACATGGAGAACAGCTGGATTAGGACTTTTCTACGTTCACTGTCTTTACATCTTTTGACTCCAATTTTTAATGCTGCTATTTTTAGATCATGAATATATCTAATAGTTACTAGCTGTCCAGTATGGTAGCCACTAGCCATGTGCAGGTATTGAGCAATTGAAATATGGATAGTTGAATTGAGATGTGCACTTAGTGTACAATACATACTAGAATGAGCAATGAATAGAAGATTGTAAACTGTAGGAAGCACTTACTTCTCTTGACAAGAAAACAAAGACATGGCTACTTTATTTTGTAATGAAATGACTTTTTCTGGAGATGGCCACTATTATTGGACATAAAATTATAAGTCATAAGTGGCCAAAGAGATTATTTTATTTTTAAAAAGTTTTAATTCCCATTCCTTCACCGCTTTGGAACCATCAACTTGTTCTCTCTATCTCTGGGTCTGTTTCTGTTTTGTTTATTCATAGTTTTTTTTTAGATTCCTCATATAAGTGAAATCACATAGGATTTGTCTTTCTCTGTCTGACTTATTTCACTTAGCATAAAACCCTCTAGGTCCATCCATGTTGTTGCAAATGGCATGATTTCATTCTTTTTTATTGCTGAATAATATTTCATTGTGCATATATATCTCACATCTTCTTTATGTATTCACCTATTGATGGACAGCTAGGTTGCTTCACTATCTTGGCTATTACTAGGAATGCTGCAGTGAACACAGGATAATTTTAAAAAGAAAAAAAAAAAATACAGCTAACACATCATACCAACAGTTTGGTTTCTTTGAATGGGATCAAAGTCTTTGAAACTAGCTAGATGACAAATGTGTAATAGTGGTATGATGGCAATTACCTTAGATTTTCTGGGACTATCCCACCTTTCAAACACTTTCTCTTATGTGTCTTTTTTATTAGAAAAACAACTTCTGCAGGTTACCCGCTTGTCAGCGTCTCTCCCTATATCTTCTACATTCCCTTCTGCCATATAAATTGTCATTGTTCCTGTCTAAGGCCGCCCCTCCACTTGGGTTCTAGATTCTGTCCCCTCTCAGCTACTCGGGAACATTGTTTCAGCAATTCTCTCCTTCGTGCTCAGTCTTTTCCTTTCCACTGGAGCATCCCATTAGCGTACAGACTGGCTATTTCTCCCCTCTTAAAGAGGGAAAAAAACACTCAAAAATCTCTCCATCTCAGTTGCATCCCTTCACTTCTCCGCTCCCCTTATAGCAGGACTGTTTGGAAGTGTTGAATAGTCTCACCGTATCCTGTTTCTCACTCCCCGTTCTCTGTCACTCCATGCACAGCAACTGCTCCCATCAGGGTCACCTAATGTCCTGCCCTTGAGAGTAGGTTCGGGGGGAAGGAGACGTAGACTGGTTTAGTGATTCTGGAGCATAAATTGTACGTGACACTAGAAAGGTAAGCAAGATGCTTATCTTGGAGAACCTCACATGGCAGAAATGTTCTTAGAAAGCTGTCAAGCAGAGAGGCAATTACAGATACTTTTGTGTCTTGAAAAAGACATTTTATATGTTGAAGCTGTGTAATAAACTACTGAGGATTATTGTAGATAGAGTAGCCAATTTATTACCCAAAATATGATCAGAAAAATGCTTTAAGCTCTACTTAGTTGATTTTTATGTAAATATTCTTAAAAGTAAAAGGATATGTATAATGAAGCAAGTAACTTGATTTAACACATTAGGACAGGTACAGTCAAGTGGTTCTTTTTCACCAGAGAATCAATCTATGCACTTAATCCAAGGATGTTCTAGAAACACTTTTTGGGAGGTGGGACCATTACTTATAGACCAATGTCAGTGTCAAATACAACTCTATGTCTTATTTATTAGTTTATTAACTTCAAACAGCTTTAACATTTATCTTCTTCAGACTGGGTACCAACCAACTTTGTTGTTTAAAACATTTATGAATGGCCCTGGCCGGTTTGGTTCAGCGGTTAGAGCGTCGGCCTGCGGTCCTGAGAGACCCGGGTTCGGTTCCCGCTAAGGGCACGTACCTCGGTTGCAGTTTGTCCCCGGCCCTGGTCGGTTGTGTGGGTGGCAGCCACTCGATGTGTTCCTTTCACATCGATGTTTCTCTCTCTCTCTCTGTTCCTCTCTCTCCCTCCCACTCTACCTGAACAAAAAATGGAAAAATGTCCTCGGGTGAGGATAAAAAAAAAAAAAAAAAAAAAAAAATTTATGAATGAATAAATTAAAGAAACTATCTTCAAAGACCAAAGTAAAACTATAAAAGAAAATACTGAAAGTTCTGAAGATAGTTTCAAATCGGTTTTTAAATATTTTGAGCAACGGTAGCTTTAGTTAACAAGTGTTTGTAAGTTTCCAAGTAATTTTCTTTGAAAGGAATAGTACTCATTGTTTTGTTTTTCTTATTGAATTTATTGGTGTGACATTGGTTAATAAAATTACATAGGTTTCAGCCCTGGTTGGGTGGGTCAGTTGGTTGGAGTGTCGTCTAATATACCAAAAGGTTGTGGGTTCAGTCCCTGGTCGGAGCACATATAGGAGGTAACCGGTCAATGTTTCTCTTTCTCTAAAAATCAATAATAAAAAAACCAAAAATATACTTGGGTAAGGATTAAGAAAAAATTATGTAGGGTTCTCGTAAACAGGTCTATAATACATCATCTATATATTGTATTGTGTGTTCACCACCCAAAGTCAAATCTTCCATCATAATTTTACCCCCGTTTACCCTCTTCTCCGTCCCCCCAACCCCCAGTCAGCACTCATTATTTTATGCTTTCCTGTGTGATGGGAAAAAAAAAAATTATAAGGTCGATTACTTTATAATCTATATCTTGCGGATCTAGAATTGTATCTGGCCCGTAACCCTGTAGTAGTTTTTAAATTATTCCATTCTTTTGGAAGAAATAGATAAAACTGTATTTTATAGGTGGTTATGGAGCTACAGCTTTAAATATGAAACGTGATCCTTTGCATATTAAAATCAAAGGAGAAGAATTTCCTCTGACTCTGGGTCGGGATGTCTCTGGTGTGGTGATGGAATGTGGACTTGATGTGAGGTACTTCAAGCCCGGAGATGAGGTGAGTTATGAAATGCTGCTATTCCTTTTCTAACTGCAGGTTTCATTCTGCTTCTTTTGGAACTATATTCCATATTGCCCTTTCCTCTTCTTTCCAACAAATATACTGAGCTCTGGCTGAAACCCTCATTTTCTTGGTTCTGTTAGAATAGCTTGACTGTACTGAAGCGTTCACATCTAGTGCTTAAGAATTGCAAGACTTTAAAATACGTATGATTGGGACTTTTTCTTTTTCTTGGAAGAGCCTTTAAGTGGCAATTTCTACCTTATGGTCTAGATCAGCGGTTCTTACCCTGTGGGTCATGACCCCTTTGGGGGTTGAACGACCCTTTCATAGGGGTTGCCTAAGACCATCAGAAAAAACATATTTCCAATTGTGATTCATAACAGTAGCAAAATTACAGTCATGAAGTAGCAGTGAAAATAATTTTATGGTTGGGGGTCACCACAACATGAGGAACTGTATTAAACGGTTGTGACACTAGGAAGGTTGGGAACCACTGGTTTAGATGGTTTTAAAATAGCTGAAGTTTGGTATAATCACCTGTCACTTGTCACTTTGAATTTTGACACCAAGCAATTAAAATGAGTTCATAATAATAGCTAACACTGGTCTGGTTGCTTTTCATAAAATTGCTCTTTTAATCTCTGAAGCAAGTGTAGTTAGGCCCAGTTTACAGATGGGGAAGCAAAGTTACACAGCTACGCAGCTAGTAAGTGGTAGACCAGTACTCAGGCCCCAGAGACTGTGCTTTTATGGTATTCTAAGTATGTAGTCAGTGCATACAGCAGGATTTACTGGCATCTGTTTGCAGTGTGGCTTGACTTGATCAATGCAGAATCATAGTAAGTAATACATTTACACCACGTGACAATAACTCTTTTGTTTGGTGTATTGCTGACTTGTGCTTTTTTTACAGGGTGAGTATGTATTGGGGAATACCCTCATGCTTCACTTTGGTTTAAAAAGATCTGTTTCTAATGAAGTGGTGTGTGTATTTCAGGTGTGGGCTGCAGTTCCTCCCTGGAAACAAGGCACTCTCTCAGAGTTCGTTGTAGTCAGTGGGAACGAGGTAACTCACCAGTTCTGTGCTGAAACGCCATTAGAAAGTATAAACAGATTTACAGAAATGTCTGAAATAATTGTGTGTGTGTGAGATCAGGTTCGTGTTTAATGGGTAGGTTTGAAAGAGCTATGATAGAGAATAGGAATTTTTGAAAGATTAGAAATTGTTTGCTGTCATTTAATAACACTGTCTGCCAAGGTGGTAACTTTGTCTAGTGGAGCAGGGATTTGGAGTGAGATCTAGAAACCCTGCTGTGTTTCTTGGTTTTACCTAGTGTAAATAGTGGAAACCAAATATGCCAAATGGAGCGTACCAATTAATTATAAACAGAAGCATGGAAGTATCAAGCTGTTTCAAATAACTTTAAAAATAGGAGTCTAATCAAATACAGTCAGGAGATCTGACCATCTGAATCAAGAGAAAGGGGTTAACATTGAGGAAATTGGCTACAGAGGGGAGGGTGGGAAGGGAAGAAGGAGTATTACTGAGGTTAGAGAAAGTCTGGAGAGATTACCTTCCAGTAAATGGGAGTAAAGGAAACAGCTGATCTAAAAAACAAATTAGAATGTGTTTATGGGGGTTCCAGGTTTATTTGGATTTATTTCTGGGTATAGTCAGGACTAATGAGATTATTGAGTGTGGTCTTTTCATGAGTTAAGCAGGTACGTCTGATCATGTAGCCTGTAAAACACTACTGAATCTCTGACCCTAGAGGGCAGGTTGAGTCATTTGGAGAATATTCCTTAGAGATAACCTTGAAGTAGGGTATGTCATAAATACTGAACCTGGCAGAATGTTATAGAGTTATCTATGAAAATGTTGGATTCCTCTGAAGATAAATGTACTTAATTGTGTTCTTAGGTTTGTAAGTCTTTGCTTTTTTTTGACTGTTGTCTTCCAATCTAGGTGTCTCACAAGCCCAAATCACTCACTCACACTCAAGCTGCCTCTTTGCCATATGTGGCTCTCACAGCCTGGTCTGCCATAAACAAGGTTGGCGGCCTGAATGACAAAAACTGCACAGGAAAACGGTAAGCATCAACGGTGGCGTCTAAACCTCCTCCCTTTCCTTCTGCAAGGTCTTTGCCGTAGATGATCAGGACCATTAAAACTAGGACCATTTACATGAGCAGAGTTGTGCTGACATTTAAAACAATTTCCAAAGAACTCTCTTTGTGTCATTTTGGATGTTCTTAACCTCATTCTATTGATTATTAGTCCAATCAAATGCAAATTTTATTTATTACTATTATTTTTTTTAGTCCTCGCCCAAAGATATTTTTTCCCATTTATTTTCAGATATAGTGGGAAGGAGAAAGAGGGAGGGAGGGAGGGAGGGAGGGAGGGAGGGAGAGAGAGAGATGTGAGAGAGACACATCGACTGGTTGCCTCCCAAATGACCCCGACCAGGGCTGGGGACTGAACTGCAACTGAAGTATATGTCCTTGATCAGAATTGAACCCCAGAGTCTTTGGTCTGCGGGCTGACACTTCAACAGCTGAGCCACCACACCAGGGCAATTGTTATTATTTTTTTGGTGAGAATACTAGGTACTAAGAACATTTAATGATTGTGATGAAGGAGAGAGCTATAGGTCAAATTTTAATAAATTACAATAACTTTGTTTTTTGATTGCTGAGGATCGTGCAGATAACTAAAGTCTGTGTCATTTCATACTCCTGTAGTTTGAAACAGTGCACTTTACATTTAATATGTTGAGTTATAGAGCATTGGGTTTAATGAAAGCTTAATAGCTGTACTTCTGAAAGCAGTTTGAAGGCTATTCCTCTAATGAGGTGCTACCCTTTATCCGAGAATTCAAAGTAAATATTTATTCTAAAGGTCAGCCCTGTTTATTTTTTAAGCTTTGAGGCTTATTTTTCTTAAAGTTGCCATTTTGTTTCAACACTTTGTTTAAATTAAATTAGTTTGACCACATAGATTTTTCTTAGTTAATAACCTTGCAAACATGTTATTCAAAATTCTGAGCCTTTATTATTATTGTAGGCTCTGCATTGACATTGATGCTTTATTGTTTTGTTTTCCCTCAGAAGCACTGGACTGTCTATGCCTGCGTGACTGTATGAGCTAGAGATCTGTCATGCCTTTAGCCAGTTCAGGCCTCCCAGGCATACCTTTTCTTAGTGCCCCAAGGAAACCATTTAGAAACAGATCCAGCTGTCTCTTCTCATACACATAGACGTGTACCCCCATTTTATTGTTGGCCTTTTGGGTAATTCTTAGGTACTGTGTTATATTTTATTTAAGCACTAATGGCTTGGAACTGGGGAAGCTGAGCCCTGGGTTCTGTTCTCCTCTCTGCTACTAACTAATCAGGTGGCCACATGCATGCTACTTACAGTCTCTTCACAGTTTCCTCCAAGGTACGGAGTGTAGGACTGTAGGTTAGGAGAGCTTTGAGCAGTGGAAGGTTTTATAAGGCGATTATATATTCCATTGAGTTGGGTCTGTTCATTGATATAGCCACACGTTAACCAAACTGGAGTGAACCCATTGCAAAGAGCCTCACCAGCTCACATCGTAGACGTCTGCGCTTTCCAGTGTGCATGTGGCTGTAGGAGGCCTTGCTTTCGAGTGGCCCCTGCTGCCCCAACAAACTCTGGTTTACTGAAATTATTACACATGGCTGGTAGTGAGGGCCTACCCCTCCAACTACTTGTTAGTGAGAATCACATGAGAGAGGTGAGTACCTTAAAATACCGTGAAAAATACTTTTACATGAAGAAATTACTGCTCTAGTGGGATTTTATTATACATACATGCAGAGGTTCCAGTGTCCAAAGTGACTTTTCAATTTGGCTAATGTGATTGGTGGAGAATTTTTTGGCTTCTCTAAGTAGTAATTATTCTTTTTCTGTTAGCTTTTGGCATTAAGGCACTCTTTAGTCTGCACAAAGCAGGTCAGTGTTTGTTATTAAGGACTTAAAGTCTGTTTTTATTATTATTTTTATTGAATTTATTGGAGTGACATTGGTTAATAAAATTATATAGGTTTCAAGGTATTATATTCTATAATGCATCATCTGTGTATTGTATTGTGTGTAAAATCTGTTTTTCTAACCAGTTAATTAAAACAAAACAGAACCCAGCAATGATAAAAACACCCATCAGCACCTTGGAAGATTTTATAGGACGCTTTTAATGACAAACAGCTTTGGGAAATTCAGACAAAGCTTTCTAGGGGTTTGATGGCGTATACCTTTTCTTTTTTAAATTAATTTTTGCAACAACTGAGCATCAGTGAACCAAAGGGATAATTTAATATTGATGTCATATAAAATTATTTTTTCCCCTACACTTTGGTATCACTAGAAAATGCCAGATGAAATGATTTCCTTCTTACCTGCCCATCCATGGTTTCTTCATGATTTATTTAGAAGAAACAAATAAGTGACTTAGGGCTCTTAAAATGAATAGAAACACTGGATTTACCCCTCTTCCCCCAATGTGCTTATATCAGTAATTATAACAGCTTCCTTCTTCAGATGCCTTCACCTGCTTGTTCTTCACCCACTACCCACCTGTTTCTCCCTCTCCACTCCCACCACCTCTGTGGACTTTGGGTTTTCATTTGCATTTGACTAGGTTGTATGGTTAAAGGAGTAATGGGGAGGAGAAGCAACCCCTGCATTTTACTCTCTCCAGGATGCCGACGGATTTGGCCTCTGCTCCTGGACCTGTTCTCCTGGGAGCTCCAGGAGGACTCAGTTAAAGGAATTCAAAGAAAACTTTCCTGGCAATTTGTGTTTTACAGATTAGTTTTGTAGGTGGCAGGGTAACTGTCTGTGGAGTTTAGAAGTCATTTACTTTTCAAAGCACTATAATTAGCTTCCAGCCTCACTGTTCGACTGCAGCTGTTCTTACAGGGGCCATAGCTGACTAAACTGCCAACCCGGTGACGCTTTTCAGTTCTTATAATTTGAACTCTGAAGTATCTGGCGCGGTTGACCACTTCTTTAATTCTAACTTTCCCCACAGTTTCGGGGACACCAGGCTCCTTTAGTTTTACTCTTGCCTTTTTGACCAGTTCTTGTAATTTTTAAAGCGTGCCAACCTTTCTTCCGGTTAGTCTTTCCCCAGCATCCTACTCCATCAGTCCTGTCTCCCAGGGTTATCTCGTCTACTCCCAGCTTCTGTGTATTTTGGTAACTTGTAGATTTATGCTTCTAGCCCCAGCTTCTCTACTGATGTCCCCTTTGTGTCTGAAACCCAGCTTGTGCAAAACAAGACTGACTGACCCCCGCCCCCCAACTTCCTGTAGATTCCTAATGTCAGTTAACTGTGATTTACCTTAAGCTAGAATCTGAACATTGTTCCCAAACCCTACTCCTTCCCATTCACTGTACAAATCCTTATTGTTCATGTCATGTAAAATTTAGGATTGTTGTCAAATTTGGAAAAATGTCTTCAAAGGTTTTTTAATATGTGAGCTGTAGATGGCAAGGCATTTGAAGTTTTCTCCTGCCGTGAATAAGCCTAACATACCTTTGCATTTTAACCAACTACCCTCATTAACTATTTGTTATTGATGTCTTCCCTGTAGTGGTATCAAGTAAAAGTAATACAGTTAGCAACCAGTTCGATGTCCTTATTCAACAGAAAACAGTGCATGGAGTGGGGGGATGCAGTGACTCCCAAGCCGGGGCACTCTTCTTGAGGGACTGGGACCAGAGCAGGTGTCAGAAAGGCAACATGGAAACAGGGCATGACTGGGGAGGGGGTCAGTGATTTCCTTATAAGGCTAAGGAGCCCTGTTTTCTAGGGTGAGGTAAGCTAGTGAAAGCGGCGTTGGAGGATTGTGATTGGTGTTAGGTTTCCTTGACAGTCAGGCACTTCCCATAAATGCAGGCTGACTTAGGCTTAGATTTGTGATGTGGGCTGGGCCACTGTGGCAGCATAATTTTGTGGGTCCTGATATATGAACTACTTTTATCAGTGGTGTATATTAAGTTTTTATATGTCTTTTATTTGGAAGAATTTTCCACAGACGAGCTTCTGGTTCTGAGCATCTCAAACCTTGTTTAACTATGTGTCCTCTTCATTATTCTCATAATCCAGTGGTAGGTACAATGACTGTCAATCTTATTGTAAAGTTTCATAGTGCCTCATTGTGTTGCCATTTGTTACAGGGGCCCCAGCCAAGAACTTCAAAGACCAGAGGAAAATATATTTTCCCTTCCCTTGGGAGCCAGTAAAGCTTAAACTTTGGGCCCTGAGAGGAGCCCCAGCAATGTACTTGTGTGGACATATTATTGAGAAGGAGGAATATTCCTGGAGGCCATTGTCAGGGAGGAAGAGACTTCCTCTACCCTTCTGGGTTCTTCTGCTAATCTAATAATCAAATCGACATGAGACAGATTAACAAGAGAAAATAAGCAAATTTAATTCTATACATATGTATGGGAACCTCACATACACAAGAGGTTCAGAGACGGAAAGTTAAAATGAGGTGTACATGGCATTCTGAGCTAGGGGCTTCAGAGGGGGGAAGGTCATTCAGACATTCAGTGATTGGAAGTTTACCCTGCCTTCCATAGAGGCCATAAAAATAATGCTTATTATGGACGAGATCCCTAACTTTCTTTAAGGGGGAGATAACTGAGTGTTCTTAAGCCTGCAGGGTCTCAGTTGCCTCAGTGCAAAATAATCCACATGCCAAAGTGGCATGTCTTGGGCAGGCCTGTTTTGAATGCTCTCAGCATCCTTATACCAGGGCAGCCTATACTAACTCTACTCAGAAATTACAATGAACACATCAGTATTTCCCACGAAACCCAAAGCAGATGTGTTTTTAAATCAACTTTCCTTCAGCCAGCCAAATCAAGCGTCACCTGTGAAGAGGGGGGCAGTATAATGGAGTGTAGGAGTGAAGAGACAGAACTTTTAACTGATTGTGGTTAGTAGAGGAGGAAAAATAATTTTCACTCTACCCTTCTGAGTTTTCTGCTGAGAGCCCTGTAATAAAAGATTAACAAGAGGAAAACAAATAGTGTATTAGCATGTATACCTC